AATATTTGTCATAACTTTTGATGGAATTAACCAATTTTAATGAAATAAAGACTAAATGTAACCTGAATATACACTTAATAATTTCCTTAACTATTCTTATGATATAAATTAGTACTTTATACGTGATACGTTAACAAACAAACAGACAGACAGACAGAAAAATCTAAAAATGGTAGAAATGTATTTATTTACTTATTTTTAGTACCTATCAATCACTTCTATTACAAAAATATAAAATGTACAGACATCTGCTATTTACATTTTTATTATATGTATAGATAAATATAAGTACCTAATATAATTATTTGAAAATGCTTTACCAACACTCAACTTGCCGACAAATGACCGTGCTTGTCCGAGTGCCAATCTGAAATGAATCTATGAATTGCTTGAGCAAACGTTTCGAGATATTTTGATCTCGTAAACAAAAACCGCGTTCAAAATTGTATATTTGTTAAGCCAAGTGAGTGCTTCCAATAGATTATAAAAAAAACTACATCAGATTTAGAATTTATCATTTAATTAAAAAGCACTAGATGGAGTGACGACCTGGTAAGACATGCAGGAAGTCGATGGATGCAGGTGGCTCAGGACCGTGGTTTGTGGCATTCCTTAGACGAGGCTTATGTTCAGCAGTGGACTTGTGAAGGGCTGTGTGGGACAAAATATATTTTTAGACACGATTTTTTTAATGAAATTCTCAATAAAAATTTTATTCGAATCGATTTTCATAATACTTTATATTGATCGAGATAAGAAATTATAATTTAATTGCCAGATTAAAAATTACGTTCGTTTTTTTTAAGCGATAACCAAGAAAAAAGGAAAAATATTTCTTCATTCTTGACATTCTTCTTCTGACTTCTATTTAGAGAAATTATAAAATGAAGATTCCTCATCGGTTACTATTTTATTATTTAGATACTTTATTTTCCGAGTAAAAACGTTTCTTATAAAGTTAACTTTTACTCCTTTACTTTCTTTCATACTTTTTGACTAGCGAACGTGGTAGGCTTAATTTGTGCTGGACAAAAGTTATGCATGCTAAGAAGGGAGGAATCCTCGCCAAGAGACGTGGAATGAAGGACCAGTTAACAACCGCTATTTTGAAAACACGCTCATATTTTTACTCAATTCCTTTTTTTATAAATCTTTGATATAGTTGAATTATTTTACCTTTAATATATTATTTTTTAGTGAGAACTGAGGGACCACAAGACACATTTCTTGTTTTTTTTATCTTTCACACTTTACACTGTGACCTTTTATATGGTTCATAAGTTTTACCAATTCGTTTTATGTCTGTAGCAACTTTAACCACATTTTTATATCATTTACGAAATTTGGCCAACAATCCGTGAAAACTGAGGGACACAACTTTAAGGTCTGTAATTCTTATATGTTTTGTAACAAACAAATTTCTGGTTTTGTTATACTTAGTCAGATCATAAGTTCTGTCAAAAAAATTTTCATAAAATTAATGATACACTTTTTGATAATTATATATGAAATGAAAGGTAATTTAATTTAGAATACAATTTTATTTACATTATTCAAAAATCCCCTATTTTGAATACACGCCCTTAATCGACGCGGCCAATCATCATTCGCAGCACGCAACACATTCATATCTATTTCTGCCGCTGCTTTAGCCAAAGATGCTCGGAGATATTCCAAATTCTGATGAGGTTTAGCGCAGACTTTCTCCTCCAAATCTTGTAATCCAGTGGGTTTAAATCTGGACTAGAAGAGGGCGAGTCTTCATGTCCTATAGTCAATTCCACGGTCAGTCAACCAGTTTTGCGTGCTTCGTGCCCTATAGCTGGTGCAGTCCAGTTAGAATATCCGATGTCTGTTTTTGAACAGTGTTTGAGAAAGAGGTTCCACTATGTTTGTTAGGATTGTATTTTGGTATACCTCAGCACTGGTTTTTACACCTTTTTCACAGAAAAACACCTCAGTTAAGCCTGAATATGAGACTCCTAGCCAAACCATGAGTGACGTAGGATAATGTCCTCGTTGAACCCTCGGAATTCGCGTGCTGGCTTCTTCACTGCTGTGGGCATACACCTTATCATTTTGTTTATTATAACTTTCTTCGATGTTAAAAAAAATCATCCGAAAACAAAATTTCACAACATTTTTTTCCCGCGTACCGCCGTAACAAAGGGCGATATCTATCCAGCCTATTTTTTTTTCAAACGCTCGTTCAAAAATGTCTGGTCTTCTTACGATAAGCTCGATGTCCTAGGTCTATATTGATCACTCTTTTGACCGTGGTTCTGCATAGACCCATCTGAAGAGCTGAGATTTTTTCTTTACGAACAGGATTTCGTTGGATTAGCGCCTTCACTGCTTTGATGATCGTGGGTGTCCTAACTGTAGAAGGCCGGCCACTCCTCTTACGATCTTCGAAGCTTGAATCTTCAGTGAATCGTTTGATAGTGCGATAAACAAATCGTAGGGTTATTTTCAATTTTTGTAGAATATTGAAAATCTCTTTTGGCGCGTAACCACAGCGGTGCAACGCGATAACCGCTACTTATCTTCTTTCTTCGACCACTCCATATTTGAAAATGAATGAAAATTAATGTCTTTTTTATTTTCGGCAAGCGCAAACCTTATATTTTTAAAATTGGTGAAGTTCATCTAGCCAGTATCCAAAAATTTTAAATAATAGTTTTGACAGAGCTTATGACCCGACTAAGTACAATTGTACAAGTCTACTAGGTACTAAATCCTCACTGCTCACGCTTATTTTCCCGTACATACACTTATCTATGCGCATAATAAAGATTAATGTACCTACTTGTTCAGTTTTTAACGACATGTAGCGCCATCTTTTGATATTATTTAGAACTAATTTAATAAAAATATAGAATACTAACCTAGAAATTAAAAAAGCAAGATTATAATTACGTACCGACGTATTAAACTTGCTATGGTTTAATTTATATCCTTCATAATCTTGAAAATGTGGTAACCTAACAAAGATTTTTGGTAATCGATATTTTAATGAATATAAAAACTTGTGAATAATTAAATATAACACGTAATTTTACAAGATGTTTTTAAATTGTAATTTCTGTACATACATAATAATTATTGTTCTTGTTTATTAACCTTTATTAAACTAAGGTTTTGGAATAGAATAGCATAGTGTAATTTTTATTCAACATAGATTATAACTAATGGTTTGAAATAACCACTGCTCTAAGAACCAGCAAATAACCCAACAGAACTTTTTTTTAAATAAATAAAATAATCTGCAATGTAGTTCAATTGAATTAGAAACAGAATTATTATTTATTTATGATCATAATATAATTCACAGAGGTTATTATCAATCATGTATACTTTAATATTATAACTTATTTTAAACAGTCTGTTAAATAAAAAAAAACCTTTTTGATAGGTAGGCCAGGCCAGGAGTTGAGTTAACTGGTATTACAAGCTTTGTTTGTTTGTAGTATTTCCAGAACGTAAATCACTATTTTTATTTTTGTGATTTGCCATAATTGCCATGTTTGGCAGGCAGATTGGCTCTTAAATGGCTGTACCCGTCGCTGGTCTAGGTATTTTAGACATGGCATATAAGAAGTGGCATACCGTCATCTATTGGAGGCAGTGAGGTCCTTCGGGTATTACCCAAGCTGTATCTTACCTACATCCACAACTCCACAAGACGTAAGGTATCATGGATTCCCTCACACCACCACCAGCCTAATTATTAATAAATTGTATGTTCCACAATTTATTAATAATTAGGCTGGTGGTGGTGGTATAATAAAGATAAACATTACAGGTCTTTGTTAACTGGTTCGTAGTAATGCTATGCTATTTTGTTTCAGTTCAGTTAAAAAACGCTGAGTACAAGTAGTCATAACAGTAGAATAAGAAGTTGGTTTAATACATTTTTAAAATTAAAAGCTTAAGAATACTTTTCATTTAGAGTAGGTACAAATTTATTGTAAATCATTAATAAAATAACATTTAGATTACGCAATACATACAAAAATAACATTAAGTGTCCTTTCGTGTGTTTGACAGTCATAACATTATATAATCAAAATGTATTTAACAAGGTGCTTAAAATAATAACCATATTTTTTAGGATTAACCATATATTCTACAATTTTGGTGTTAGGATTTCAGATGGATTAATGAACAGTTTAATGAAATATGAAAAAATCATAATTTATCCTTCCAGTTCTTAATTTAATACAAACTCTAATGTTACATAATACAATGTTTTATACATACCAAAAACTATAAAGTGAGAAGTTATTTATTATATGTATAGATATAGATAGTGATTTAAAAAAATATAAGTTAAAATGATATCAAAAACTGAAGGCATTTTGGATTCAAACTTGAAAAAATATTTATTTTCTCAAACATTAACCAAAGGATATTGAATCAAACATTATTATGCTGCATTCAATAAAAAATTAATCCCTTCATTAGTGCATCTGTCCAGCAGTTAGTAGAATTCAAAAGTACAAAGTGAATTGTTGTCATAGTAATTGTACTATTTATAAATTCCTTTCATTTTATTATTGTTTTTATTTTACTTGCCACTTTTTATCCACAAAACAGTCAGATTTGTAGTCAAATAAAAATTGTACAATATAAAACATGTTTGAACACAAGAAACCAGTTTATACTTATCTTGTTTAGACTGAAATGATTATGATGGTACGAAAGGTGTTTAACCTTAGCACTAACTTAGTAATAATTAAATGTAGTTAAGCATTATAAGCAGAAATAATTCATTCCACTTTAAACAGTATGTCATAATTTGGCAATAAAGAATTCTTAGAAAAAGAACTAAATTCTCAGACTATAAAAATAAACTTATCTTCTTTATATTAATTCTAACTCATGTCTATCACTAAGTAGTTAATAATCATGCCTATGTATTAGCTTGCAATGACTATGTTTTATCAATGCTAAAAGGAATACTCTATATTTTTCAAGAATTATTAAGTAATTGAAAACTAGAATGTATCTACCATAGTAAGATTTTTCTTAGCTTTTGTCGTACGACAACTGTTTACTTTAGTGGCAAATCTTAAAGAGTTTAAAGTCTCATTGAAACACTCATCAAATTGGTTGATATTGACCAACATAAGAGTTTTAGAATTGCCGCCAAGACTAGGCATCAACAGGTGGGTTAATTTAGAATTTCTATATGGTATGTGAGATTGATTTGTCTGCAGTGAAAGGATAACTTTGGAGAGTTCAGATAAAGATCTATTAATATGTTTAGTTTCATCCATTCTTTGTGTTGTTTTACCACTCTCTGATCCTGCTAAATCCACCAAGTTTAAATTACTGGTGAACTTTTCCTTGCGCTTCTCGTTAATTGCTGCTATCTTAATTTGTGCCACAGAATGAGACCTGGAGCTTCGTTCATTGTTTAATGTTGCGGCAGTTTGTCTATTACGTTGGGCAAATATCAATAACCTGATGAAGTCATGAGAGCTTTTCACTTCTTCTTCTCTTAAATTTGACACATAAACATCATTTCCTTTTGAATTCACCATTTTTATATCATGACTTTCTTGATCTTTGTTTGAGTCCAGCAAATCATATATGACTTCATTGTAAATTTCTAAAAATGTTGCTTTTATAGTTAATTCCCAGCCCATTCTTTTCAAGTCTTCCATACAGTTAAATATCATGTCAATTGAACGTGGTACAATACCATAATTCTCTTTACCACAACCTCCTTCCATTGTATATGTTTTACCAGAACCTGTTTGACCATATGCAAAGATACAAACATTATACCCATCTAAAGCTGACTGTACCATAGATGACACTTCGGCAAAAACATCTTCTTGTGAAGAATGTGGTGTAAAAATGCCATCAAATGTGAAAGAATGTTGTGATTTGCCTTTTCTGGCAGAACTCAACAATTCAATCTTTTCAACCTCTATGGAACACGCATCTAACACGTTTAAGTTGAACAAAGGCTTTGATGCCTCTGACTCAAGCGGAGGCCTAACCCTACAGTAAACTCGTATATTCCCTTTCAAATCCTGAACTGTATTCCTCAAGTCCCTTTGGTCTTTATACATACCAGCCAATATATTTTGTAATGCCTCATACTCACTTTTATATTTAGTTATACCTTCTTGTGCTTCTTTGTAGTCAAGCCGTAGTTTATCATATTCAATTGACACTTTTTTCAAATGTTCTGAAAGCACCCTTAGGGCTTCTGCCTCTTCTTGCAGGCTTTTATGACGCCTAGACAAATCATCAAACTCAGACTGGATCTTGTCCAAATCCAATGACTTTTGCTTCAGGCTACTCGTAACCTCGTCTAATACTTTGGTTTTACGTTGAAGTTCTTCATTTTCATGCTTTGTTAATTCAAAATCTATTTTCAGACTTTGAAGTTCTGAAGTCTTCTCTTTCAAATCTTTATGAACATTTAGTAATTTTTCCTTTAAAATGTCTTTCTCGGTAGCACTAGTCTGGACCGTTTCTTTGATTTTTTCATAGTCATCAGATATTTCAACATGTCTGTCTTTCAAATCATTAAATTCTGATTTAATTGCTTTATGTTTTTCAAGTAAGTCATTAAATCTTGCTTTGTAGTCATAAGGTGGAATCTTTGGAGCTACACTCCCAGGCTTTTTATCGATTTTAGCAGATTTTTCAGGCACTATTGTGGCTGAAGGAGCTGTGGCAGCTCTTTTTAAACGTGGTGCGGGTACTGTTGTGACTGCCCCACTTCGCAGGGGCCTTGTGTGATTTAAAAGAAGACTCTTTTTGTCAGCATCACTAAGTCCATTAGCTAATGTCCTAGAAAAAGGTCTACTATTTAAAGGACCAGGCCTATTTTCTTTTGTAGCGGTAGGTAATTTAGGAATTCTTGACATCTGAAAGGACGCGTGATAATGTTTAGGAAATTGTTTGAATGGGAAATTATTGAAAAAAATAGTTTAGGTACAGGATTGCAATATTTTAAATATTCAATAACAGCTGTAGTACCAAATTTGGTATAAAAGATACCCAGCAGTATTTTTACGCTTTTGTAACAAAATACTTTATTTTTAAACAAAATATCTAGCGTGAGCATTACTTAGAGTAATTAAGTTAATACGTAATTATAATTACTCGTTTGCATTATTAATGTAATTTTGTGACTTAGATTAGTAATATTAAGAAAATTTAAGACAATTACCTTAAATTTCAACAAGACACAACATTTACACAAAACACTAACAATCACAACGTTTGTCAAATCAAACGGCCATTTTTCAAATCAAATTTAAATATTATTTACGCTTCTGTGGGGCTGCCTTATACAAAAACGTGAATTGAAACATAGGTTAAAAACTCAAAAAATTCAATTATTTGTGCGTCGGTAAACTTTTTCATCTTGCATTTAATGTGAAAAAAAAATTATGATAAAGTGTGTATACTAATTTCAAGCTTAGCTTAATTATAAAACCAATATTGGCAGACCAGAGTCTGAAAACATATAGGGAAATGAAATTTTGTAGTAAGCAACACTCGGGTAGTCGGATTAAAACTTGATACTTTTATTTTTTTATCCATCAATCATATTATGTAAATAATGTTATAATATATGTAATTCAACATAAAAAATTAAAAGAGATATTGCATCTGTTTACTAATTTATAAATTAAACATAAAAAAATAAGTCTACCGGATATTACTTTATTCAAAGTTATAAGTATGCACACAATTTCATTATTATAAATATAGTTAAATTGTTTAAAATCATAAAAATAAATCATAACATCAATGGCGAGTACATCACTCACCTTCGATTTGCCGACGATATAGTCGTTATGGTTATGGATTAGTGTTATGTAGTTGTTAATGGGAGCCAGTCTGAACCGTTTAAGGTAACCTCGGGTGTTCCTAAAGGGTCACATTTAGGGCCCCTTTTGTTTCTAATTTTGATCAACTCAGTGACAGAATGTTTTTTGAACACAGAGGTTTGCTGACGATTTGAAATTCGTTAGACCTGTTAGATCATCAACACACTCCAAGCTTATTCAAGCCGATCTGGATAGATTGATCGAGTGGTGTTCTCAAAACAATATGATTCTGAATGCTAAACAGTGTTATCATATGTCGTTCACACGCAAACATACTCCTATCCAAACTACATACAAAATTGGCAACACAGTACTCAATCAAGTAGAGTGTATACGAGACCTGGGCGTTTTGTTGGATAGTAAACTGTCTTTTGTACCACATATAAACAGTATTATAACGAAGGCGTCCAAAATGTGCGGATTTTTAGGTAGAAACACCAGTTCAGACATACTCAAACATTATTACTACTCGTTCACAGCTTAGTTCGGAGCAACCTTGAATATTGTTCTCAAGTTTGGTCTCCTTTCTATGAGGTTCATAAGAGTGGAATTAAACGAGTACAGCGGAGGTTCCTTAGTATGCTAGCATTGAAATTTAACCGACACCGCTCCTTAACTTCGTATGATGAACGGCTAAAGCAATTCCGTATATCTTCCTTATATAACAGGCGCAAACTTTTGGATTTGAGCTTCCTCTACAAACTATGTAATAATGGCATGGACTGTCCTCAATTACTGGAAATGGTTAACATTAATGCTCCAAGCAGATTACCACGATTTAATGTCTACAAGCTGTTTATGGTCCCACCTCACAGGACTAACCTCGGTCTTAATTCAGCATTATGTAGAATGTCTGTATAATGATATATCTAGGCCATCTGATTTAGATATTATCAATGAAAATTTAAATAATTTCAGAAGAAAAATGTTACTTTATTTAGAATCTAAGTTTTAGATGATAAATGTAAACCCTTTTTAATTTCTCACAAATACGCAATTTTGCTACTGTACTATTAAATTTTACGATAATTAACTTTTCGCAACATTACTCTGTGTTAGCTGTTGTTACTTATAACTGGGTGAGCACATTGCATGTTTCTCACAATGCTTGGTTCTTGTTTTTAGTATTTGTGTATCATCTGTCGGTGACCCTTATAAATAAATAAACAAATGGCAGAATCGCTGGAGGACCTAAGCACCATGCAGAATGACCTCAATAGTATCTCCCAACGAATAGGTCTTAGGATGAACATGGACAAAGATCATGTTTAATGTCAATGTCACACCTAAATATGCAGGTAGTTGTTGGGAGCACTAAGCTCGAAGTTGTTGACGAGTATGTTTACCTGGGACAAATAGTCCGACTAGGTAAGTCCAACTTCGACCGAGAGGTCAATCGACGGATTCAACTCGGCTGGGCAGCGTTCGGGAAACTAAGACACATCTTCTTGTCAGTCATACCTCAAAACCTTAAAACGAAATTGTACACCCAGTGCGTGTTGCCAGTGATGACTTACGGATCTGAGACGTGGTCCTTCACTGCTGGCCGCATGAGGAAGCTCAAGGTCGCTCAGCGAGCTATGGAGAGGGCTATGTTCGGGGTTTCTCTGCGTGATAAACTTAGAAATGAGTATATCCGCAGTAGAACCAGAGTAACCGACATAGCCCAACGGATTAGTAAGCTAAAGTGGCAGTGGGCCGGCCACATAGCTCGAAGAACCGACAACCGATGGGGAAGAAAGGTTCTCGAGTGGCAGCCTCGTACCGGTGGGCGAAGTGTAGAGCGACCCCCACGAGATGGAGTGGCGACCTGGTAAGACATGCAGGAAGTCGATGGATGCAGGTGGCTCAGGACCGTGCTTTGTGGCATTCCTTGGGGGAGGCCTATGTTCAGCAGTGGACTTATGAAAGGCTGTAAATATGATGATGATAAAAATAACTTAATTTAGAACTAGCTTTTTTTTCTATTTATGCAACCTGCATAATATTTCGTTCTTTATCTGATGTAGAGGATGAAGTTGAATACAACCAGGTTTGAATAAATCGTTCCTCCTGCAATTCAATTAATCTATCTTGATTTATGAAATCATTTTCGATTTTCATGATATGTCGACAATATTTTCGCCGTTTATTTATTTGTTTTTCAACATTTTACCAATTTGTAAAAAAATTTCAGGAGTTTTTACAGTTATTAAGAAATTGGATATGTTTGCAGCTCGATCTTCGTTTGTTACGTGAAGATAATCGTCGAGAGTGTTAGTTGAGTAAATTCTTAGATTTTCTTGAAAGTACGGCAGAATTAGCACGGTTTGGTCCCGAACAGCTGCAGATGTTTTTATAATATCTTTAATTGCCAAATTTATTCCGTTTGAATTAATAGATTAATTTTTAAGAGTTATTAATGAGAGGATTTGAACCTGTTTTACAGATTTACAGACCTGGTTTACAGGCGAGTAAAATAACCAACTTTTTTATTAATTTTTCTCTACTAAGCTGCATGTTGGGATACTCATTTCATACTAGCTGTCCTTTGCGACTTCGCCCGCGTGGAATTTACTACGATTTCACGGGTTTGCTTTTACGCGGAACCCTAATTCTTTTTCTAAAATAAAAGTATCTTAAGTTACTCCTTATAACATCAGCTGTCTGCCAGTGAAAGTCCCGTTAAAATCGGTCTAACCGTTTCGGAGATTAGCCGGAACAAACAGACAGACAGACAAAAATTTTAAAAATTGTTATTTTGTTATTAATACCGTATATAATTCATATGCGTTTAGTAAAAAGCTGTTATTTTAACATTACAAACAGACACTCCAATTTTATTTATTTGTATAGATATTATTGAGTAGCACTTGAGGATCCCATGTAGTATAATATTTTTGGAAGGAAGGATTCAACTTCAATGCGCCTTTCAGGAATCGCTTTGCGCGATCATCCGATCCGATATTATTTCCTAACACAAGTGCTAATACTGATCTGTGCCTATTAAGGAATACGTATGATGCTTCTTTACTGTAGTGTACTCAAAAAGTCCTACACTAAAAATAATATAGTCATTATAGATGTGGTATTGCCACCACAATTGTAGTGATACATTATACTGTTGAATTGTGTTGTAAAATATTGACACTAGAATTAATTCCAAGACTTCAACTTATCACATTTTTTCAAAAAAAAAATAATAACGTACTATGCTATAGGGCGTCACAACTCATCACATAATCATTAAAAAAAAATTCACGGGTAAATTACTGCTTAGCATCTTATATTTTTGTAAAAAACATTCATCGAAACTAAATAATAAATCGTAAATTTGGCAGACGCTAATTTAATGAAAATGTTGCTAGGCATAGTAAAATATTTTTTCCCATTTTTTTCTTATTATAATAATTATAAGAAAAAATGCATACTGAAAAAAAAAACATACATACTGCCAATAATCCCAATTCGCATTAAAAGAGCTATCTATCAAAATTATGGCCACACTCATTGGTCATACTCTATTTCCAATAGTAGAGCACATCAATACACAACATCAAGACACAAATCTGGCGCGGCTATATGGAATGTTATCTAAGAGTTATATTCTTTTATGAATCCAAAAAAGATAATATTTCGCGGACAGTGTCATCAAAGCCGCAGTTGTTTAAAAAACAGTTGCATTTTCAGAGTCATTAAGTAAGAGATGCTTATTTTTTTTTATAGGATAAGGGTGACAAACGAGCACACAGTCCACCTGATGGTAAGTGGTTGCTGTGGCCCATAGACATCTACATCATCTTCAATTAAGAATCAAAATGCAGATGCGTTGTCACCCGTGAGGACTAAGATGGAATGCCTCGTTTCCAGTAAAAAGGGTCTCCGGTTCTCTACACTCACCATACGAAACACAGCAGCGTTAAGCTGCTATTTTACGCTGGTATTCTGTGAGAGCGTGGTCCTTCCCCGGTCGAGCCGACCCATTCGTGCTACAATCATAATATAGCTGCAGCATGGCTCTACCAGGTGAAATTTAGTTAGTTTAAGTA